GGTGTCATATTTATCTAAATAGGCAGTAATTTTGCCTTATTATTAGGAGACCTGAGTGTGGTTTTAAGCTGGAAGTAGTGGACAGATGGGTAACACTAACTTATTTTGCCTAGTACTTAATGACAGTCGGCAGAGATAGTCAAAAAGACTAGTAATCGGTGAAGTAAATAACTATCAGACATAGACTTGGAACGTAGCAATCCTTTTACAACTCTTGAGTCAAGTATTAAGTCGACTTATATCCACGAAAGTACTTTGGTGCTCTCATAAGCGTTGAACGATTATCAGTTTATAATAATTACGTACCTCATCTGATTCTTGGGATAAAACTTCAGAGTTGGGAAACTGGTAACTCTAAGGTCTTCCACTTCATTTATTGTAGCATCCATCTTTGCGATCACTGTATCCGTGTTCTTGTAAAGTTTCTACCCAATTCATCCCAGACTGGAGCAAGAGCTTTTGCAATGGACCATACAACCAAGGCAGCCATCTAAAAAAAATTTTCAAAAAATTTATTTGGAAGAAAGTCTTCTTAGTTATTACGTAAGTATTTGTTTAGTTAGGGTAGAGAACAGCAGACTAGGTATTTTTGAAAGTAGGTGTTGATTTTCCCTAGTAGTTTCAGTGTGTGTATAAATTGCAAAAGTTGCAAACGACATTACTCAGAATATAGCATGCGAGGACATTTGTAGGATGCGGCTTGGTGATGATACTTCATTGTATATTCTATATCGAAAAGTGTTAAACATCCTAATCCTGAAATACATGATACTTTTCACAGGAAATGATTCAAAGAGTCACAGTCAGCTACAATATAAACTTGTCGTGAATAAACACGTGACATCCCGAGTTCGATCGTCGTCCAACACATTAACCACCGTAGATTGAGTCGCAAATTCAAATCCGTTGTAGTAGAGGTATTAGAAGTATAAGTGATAATCAAAAGATTGGGGATGAAGATATTATTTGAGAAGTATAGCCTGGTGAAATTGTTAGAAAATAGAGGTGATAAGGTATTCAGATTATAATTTGAGGGGGATAAAGGATGGATGGACCTGTGCCATTGCAAACGGTTTTCAGCCATATCATTCAAGCTCTCTAACCATCGGTAACTTTTGTCGCGTACAACCCAACTACGTAGTCGACACCTACCAACATGACTCAGTCTACATGTCAGTGACTTTATGGATTTTGCCGTGTATTGGTCTGACCGTCCTTAGCTTACTTCCAACCTAACCCACATCAAAAATCATCGAACATCGCGGCATTCGTAACGTGTCCAAACCACATCAACAGATTAAGTTTCACTACTTGTCATTCATACCTAGTACTCGATTCCGAACGACAGTATTACAAACTCGGCTGTCTCACGATACTAGAAAACCAGTAACCTAAGAATATCTTCTACTCTCAATGGCTGTTTCACAGCCGTAGAGTAGGACGGAGTGAACTACTGTGCAGTACACTCGTCCTTTAGTTAGCTAACGGATATCTCGTCTGCGCCATAAGTGACGCAGATTGGCAAAAGCCAATCGAGCTTTCTGTATCCGTGCTGAGATTTCGACACACACTAGGCCATAGGCACTGATGAGACTACCGAGACAAGCGAAGCGGTCTACATGCTCGACTACTTCACTCACTATCACTAGTTCATGTGACGATGCAACCCAGCCCATGAAGTAACGTTTTGCATTTCGAGGGTGAGAACCGCATCCTGAACATGCACTTACTGTTGCTTAATGTGTTCAGATTGCATTTTATCGGCGTCTTCACCAAATAGAACTATGTCAACAGCATAATGCAAGTCAACAAGCGAGTCTCCTGATAGTAGTAGGTTAACTCCTGAAAAGTCAGATGATGAAAGTATCGTCTCTAAAAACATGTCATTGACAAAGCTAAATAAGAATGGAGAAAGTGGATAGCCCAGACGGACACCATTTAAAGCAAGGGATTCCGATGACAGTTCTCCATAAGTTCTCACTCAACCAGCAGTGCTTGATTAGAGAGCTTGTACAAGGTTAATGTACCTTTTTAGTACACCTATCAACGATTCCAAGGACTCGTGATCAAATTAACAAAACTAGTAAAGATGCATTATTACATAAGTAACACAATTCGAGACAAAATGATAATACAACTCGTGCATAGATTAATAACATATCTACTGAAATGAAACACTTACATAATTTAACAAACACATCTTTTGTTTTGTCTTTAACCACATCGTTGTAATTTTTACCGACAAGAACTCTAACAGCACCTGTTTGATCTGTTGGTATTTCTTCACTCATAAGGAAAGGTTTAACTTTTCCATCAATTGTTCTTTGAACGAAATCGGACATAGCAGAAACAGAGTAATCGTTAGAATCTGGCTTATATTTTGTTGTTTCTTCACCTAGTTCAATGATTCGGTAAGTTGGGGCATCACTTTTTGAGAGTCCGAAAAATTCCAGAACGCGTAAATTACTTTCGACATCAACATCGACGTATATTACATGAAGCTAGAAGGTGAAAAACCAAATCTTATTAGTTATACGAAGCATATGCTCATAAAAGGACGAATGTTATCACTATAAATAGAGATTCTATTTTACTAGTCTATCATAATATATAGTCATACTATGATCGATTTAATTGAAGAACAATTTGGATATCTATTCACGCACTATCTACCAAGTATTTCTTTATCGCAATTTTAGGTATCAATCTCTTGTCACCTATGCCTTTTGTAAAAAACACTAATTAGCAGTTCTACTACAATGTACCTTGCGAGATCGTAAAATAAATACAAGTCAGAGCGACCAGCATGATATTTGGTGACGTGGAAAACCTCATACCTTTTTTGTATGGATTTTTCCCTAAAATAAAGCTGCTACTACTTTTCGACTGGTTGCAGTCACTTATTTTCTGAAGGCATCCAGAAACATGGTCTTGGAAATTGAGTAATTCGTATGCATCAAGAAAACCTAGTCCACGTACATTTTTTGTTGTTGAATCACCCACTAATGCATTATATACTGCAAGCACATCTATTAGCATGCTAAAGGTTAAGGTTTATTGAAAGAATGAATGTTGGAGTTTAGAAAACGTGTAATATTTAGAATCGTATTAATGCAATGGTAAACTACACCGGAAATTTCGCATTAAAGTTAGGTAAGAAAGAAGTAAAGTGAGGTCCATCAGCTATACAAATTAATCTGTGCAAATATCACAATCTTCTTTATGTGGAGGACTTTTAGCGAGACAACCTAGTTTGGAAGCACCTTTTCGTGCATATACCTGCCTAAGTAAAGTAGTAAGAGAGACATTTTAAATTAAAATGATAAGATACTAATTTATAGGCACTTGTGTAGTATGAATTGTAGGAGCTAGAATCCTAGAACAAGTCATAGGACTTTTGATGTCTTAAACAGTTTCATATTTCATTAAGCATTAGAACATAGCTGAAAAAGCAAGCACTATTTAGTGACGTAGTTTGAACGCCACACTAGATTATCGCCATAATTACTTACCTTGCCTTTGAACTGTCTCGCAACTTTGGTTAATCTATCAACGAGTTCTGAGTGGTCTGTTGATTTTGAGAGGAAGAAGACAATGTGTTTTTGGACTGGACTTCCAAATACAACTCCTGCTGTCTTTTGGGAGAATTCTGATACAAGCGGTACACTCTCCACCTGAACGAAATGCTTTAGATTTTCAAGTGTTCCTCCTGTATACTCAACACGATTATCGTCAAACTGTAAATGATAAATTTATTAGAAAAACGGAACATACATTCTTGAACAAAACGATTTTTGGTGTCTGTGTGATACCATACTCAGTTAAAATATCACTGGCGTTAGCTACTGCGAAATCAGCATCATCTAACTCATCTGCCACTTTCTCGAAATCCGCCAGATTTACAGAGTCCGTATCCTGAACAGTAAGCATGAAAATACTCATTTACCTTGATAAATCCAAGTACAGCAATTGTAGCTTTGTCGACAAATTGTTTACAACTTTCGACTGATTCAATATAGTCCACGGAAGGTTTGGATTTTCTTAAGCACCAGCTCACAATCGCATCTGAGTCTCTTTCACCACCAAAGTCGATAGGTTGTTCGTTTCGGAAGAACTTCAGAGTTGGATATCCCTTAACACCATGCTTATACGCAAGTTCTTCTTCAACAGTAGCATCCACTTTAGCAAGTTTAATCGGCGAACCATTTTCCTTCAATTTTTTAGCTGCTGCACTGTATTCTGGGGCAAGAGCCTTACAGTGACCACACCAGGGAGCATCTAAATGAATCAATCACGTGAAATGTTTTAACTCACAGAACTCAACCAAAACAAATTGATTGGCCTTAATAACATCATCAAAGTTCTTTTTATTCAATACAAGCACGTCATCTTCCTCAGTGACTTCTGCTGCAGCGAAAGCAAGAAAAACAACAACAACAGCAACTAACAACTTCATAGTTGTACGTAGAGATGACACGTCTGCCTGGCTGGTCATTTCAACAAACACAAAAAAGCACCTGCGTACAATTTTCAATTTACAAAAATGGTTCTAATAATTCTAATGAGTGTTGATGGAATAAAAGAAGCTTTCGCACAGTTTATGGGCGTCTTCCCCATAACTTGCGTTGAGAACGAGCTAACGTAAGCAATTTAGGAGATGCTCGAGAGTGTTTAGAATGTTCTGAGTCACTACTAATTCACTTCTGAAAGGTTCTAACGAGTAAAGATCCAGTGTCGTGAGGCACTCTTTAAAAGGTTTGAACCTGGGTCATCGAAATGATTCGGTTTCTCGCCTATGCATAGGTTCAAGTGTTTTACTGTCCTTTCGGTGGGAGGGATGAAACAGTAATAAACACTCTATATGGAGTCGAATAAAGGGTAAGTATAACTTTTTACTATCAAACTGACCGAAAATATGCTTTAAACGTTGCGGATGCAGTGTTAGCCCAAAAGTCATTTTTATTACAGTTGCCTCAAGACTTCAAACCATAGTATACCAAGGTACCTTAATCTTTTTCAAATTAGGAAACCTCTAAAGGAGAGCAATACAAGGTGTGTATAGGGTCCCGACCGTAGCTGCAACCTTGACGTGGTGATCAGGCTTGCCTATTGTGATGATCCAACTGAGCTATATTGGCTGGTACATATGTTCCTGAAGGTTCTAACATTCCAGGTAGGTCGATTGGATAACGATGAAACTAAAGGCAGCTACCCAAGGTATGGGGGCGAAGTCGTACTGCTGACTGCAGAAGGGTGTTACAGCATTAAGGTGTTTCCCTCGGACAACCAGCATCTGTAGCGATGCTGCCTTCTCACAAGGAAGGAAGGGTTAGAAAACGCCGACCCTAAAAATGTCACATCTCACCATACCTCACGAATTTCCGTCTCCGGTGGTAAGGGTGCCGGCTAAGGGCTTTTCAGAGCGGAGCTAATTTTCAAAAAACCCTTCATAAAAAGGCCATGCGTGACTGGCCTCAAGCAGTCCTCCCTTGGGCTCTGCGGTCACACTCCCAGGTCGAAACTCCCCAATCCGCTCGTTCGATTCATTCGCTTCATCATATTCGCCCATTCATTCGTCCAGACGTCTTCACAGAAGATCAGTAAAAACTCACTCACTCACAAATCGAATACAACCAAACAGTTGGTAATCTCGAGGACAAATCGGACAGAACCACTAACTGGAAATCCTGACGCCGAACATCGACAAAGCAGCTCAATAACTTAGTGAATTCGTTGAACGAATCACTCGAACAAGGTAACTCTAACTTTCATAACTTTTGATGTTTTCCGACAATTTTGATTTTTTTTAGCAAACACAGACACTTTCGTATCCTTGTTTGCTGGAAGGGGGCTATTGTAGTGCCCCCACATATATTCCGGTCCGTTTACATCTACTTTAGTTAAGCCCCTTTCGACTAATTTATTTAACCAGGCCATTTCTATTGCAACAAGTTTTATGTACCATTCGTTCTTATTATTGTCTCGTTTGTTTGAATTCACATGACGTGTCCCACTTGCCATTTGACCTTTTCAAATATTCGTCACTTTTATTCATGAGTGCCTATTTCGCTTGTCACATGCCTGTCTTATTTTTTGTCTGACTATATATTCTTAGTCAGGCTCTATCTCCACATCGCTTCGTTCGCCCATTCGTTCGCATTGTAATCCAAGGAGTCGGCTCAACAGTTTTCTCCAATTCACGTCGTTTTATTTGCTTTGTTCGCTGCTTTTCAGCTTCGCTTTGTGGTGTGTCCAAAAATAAACGTGTTCATTACTACGATTTCACCTACAGACGCTATCTAGAAACGACTGTCTGGACGAGCTAATCACCGAGCTTAAGAACACTCAGAAAAGTGCCACACTACAATCTTACTGCATCGCTAATGCAAACGATGCGAGTTCACGAAAAGTTATTCTTGGTCTCCTGAAACCCCGTTCTAAAATACATGTTGGAGCTTATAATGTACGGACTTTGTATCAAGTAGGGCAACAGGCTTCATTAGCTAGGACATTAGAATCTCACTCAATCGATGTATGCTGCCTCTCGGAAACGCGCATACAGGATCTCAGTAAAGTCATTTATTTGATTTCACCCTGTCAAAATAAAGAAGCAGCTTGATTTATTCTTCGTGTATCCGGTAGCACTGAGGCTGCTTCCTGGGGTCTCGCTGGTGTAGGTATAGCATTGAGTCGTAGGGCAGAATTATCTCTCCTAGACTGGATCCCAGTAGATAAACACTTGTGCGCTGTCCGGCCAAACGGGACAGTAAGGACTCAGAAAGATAGTGTCACCCGTCAATGTTTCTTCGTCATATCTGCCTATGCCCCCAGTGACTGCTGTTCAGACAAGGTGAAGGATGAGTTCTACAGAAATCTTTCGAACCTCCTCCAAAATGTTAGCCACTCTGATGTAGTAATAATGGCTGGGGACTTTAATGCTCAAGTAGGTCGACAAAGTGAGCAGGAAAGACATCTAGGTGGATGTTATGGTGTCGCGGCTCAGATAACGGATAATGGCGACCGTCTGTTGCAAGTATGCTCAGATAACCGCCTATTCCTAGCAAACACTAACCTAAGGCATAAGGAAAAACATTTGTTGACCTGACGACCACCAAAGTCGTCTCAACGTTGGACCTAACTAGATCATATCACCATCAGCCACCGATGGAGGGGTTCAATAGAGGACTGTCACTCGTTCTGGGGCACATGGTTAGATTCAGATTATGCCCTAAAACGAGCGCGTATTTGTTTGAAGCTTACTGGACGTAGGAAAGACACCGTAAGGAAACCTTCAAGGGTTTTACTTAATAATAATAAAGCTAAGAATATATTTCGGGAGCAACTAGAAAGACAATTTGGTGACCATGTAAGTGATTCCCATCCAGAAGTAGGTTGGAATGTTATCAATAAGCCTGTGGAAACAGCAGTGATATCTGCTAGCAAGGTAAACCATAAGTCTAGAATGAAGCTGTGGATCTCAGTAGCATCTGCTGAACTGATGGGTGCTCGAAAACATATCCCACCTGGCTGTAAACATAATATAGAGCATAGTCTGCTTCGGTGCGGGTTGATTAAAAGCCTACGCAACGACCGCTTACAGTGGTGTGTGGCAGAAGCGAGAGAGAAATGGAAAAGGCAGCGGCTATAGGCAACAGTAGGCAACTATTCAGACTCATCAAGTAAACTGGTATTAGGAACCCGAATGTGAGTGAGTCTATCTCGGAAAAGGTTGGTCTTATTAGCCATTCTGAATCCAGGAGACTGGACCAATGGGCAGAACACTTTCAGTGATCAGTTCAACTGGCCTTCAGCCACATTTCGGTTACCCACGATCTGCAGTCACCCTGAATGGCAAACCGACGTGTCCCCCTAGTCTTTATGAAGTTGAGAAAGCTATAAGAAATCTGAAGCGAAGGCGAGCAGCGGGTCCCGATAGATTGACCCCTGAGATTTTTGAGGATGATGGTCCATTTTTAGCAGCTAGATTGACTGAAATCTTAAGTAGAATTTGAGAAATAGTCGCAATCCAACCTGACTGGTCTGAATCTTTGATTGTGTCAATTCATAAGAAAGGACAAAAGTCTTCTTGTGACAATCACAGGGGAATCAGTCTAACTAATATAGTTTCGAAATTGTTAGCCACGATTATTCTTAGACGCCTAACTAGAGCTCACCTAGAATATGCCGATGACATAATTCTACTCGGTGATGACGCTGACTACCCTAAGCAACAATGCAAGCATGTTCGGGATGCGGTTCTCACCCTCGAAATGCAAAATGTTGCATAAAGACTGGGTTGCACCGGCACCTGAACTAGTGATAAGGAGTGAGGTAGCCGAACGTGTAGACCGCTTCACCTATCTCGGTAGTCTCATCAGTGCCTATGGTCTAGCGTGTGTCGAAATCTGAGCACGGATACAGAAGGCTCAATTGGCTTTTGCCAACCTGCGTCACTTATGACGCAGACGAGATATCCATTAGCTGACTAAAGGACGAGCGTACTGCACAGTAGTTCACTCCGTTCTACTCTACGGCTGCGAAACATAGCCAGTGAGAGTGGAAGATACTCGTAGGTTACTGGTTTTCGATCATAGGTGTCTCCGAAGCATTGCTCGAGTATCGTGAGACCGCCAAGTAAGTAATGCTGTTATTTGGAAACGGGTTCTAGGTGAAGAAGGCAAGATAATAGATGAAGTATTGAAAATTCATCAGTTGAGGTGGTCGGGACATGTGTTACGTTTAGCTAACCACCGACTGCCACGTCAAGCTATATTTTGCGGCGTAGGTAGGACGAAAGCAAGGGGCGGCCAGACCAACACATGGCAGAAATGCATGAAGTCACTGACAAGTGGACTGAGCCATGTCGGTAGGTGTCGACTACCTGGTTGTGATCCGCGAGATGTTAGTAATCGATTGTTAGAGACCCTGAATGACATGGCTGAAAACAGTTTGCAATGGAGCAGGTGCATTCGTTCTTGGTCTTCTCTCGAATCCTAAGCTTCTGAATTCCTCATGACTCTTGTCCTTTTCTTTTAAAGTCTATTTCACTAGATTCTACTTCTTGAATAATATCTTCCAGCCCTAATATCACCGATTACTGGTAGTCCGTCGACTACCTCTACTATTATGGGATTTGAAATGACAATTACATCTCCGTGCTAACGAGGTATGGCAACATGAACTGATGTATGTACGTACGAAGTTCCACGTTGCTATTGGTCAATTGATTGATATACTCCGCAGCATACTTGGATGAACTACTTGACACCTCGGAGTGCTAATGTCCGCTGTCATTCGTCAAACTGTTGGGTGAGGAATGGTTTTAAACAAATATTATTGCCCATTTGCTCAACCAATAACTGTTCAGCGAACTCAAATAATCAGTTTGATTCCAGCAGATATACATGGTTGTTATAATACTCCTTATAAACATGTCACGTGCAGTTCCTTTTAAATTGTGGCGTTTTAATTTGTTTTGATGATGCCTCAGTAGATAGGCAGCACGTCATCTAGTGCCTTTATTTTACTGAACGCCTTCAGATTGAGCATGTCCGCTGAAACTGATGCAGTCAGAATTGATTTCGAGAGCCTATCGAACCATTTGGTGAGAGAATTCAGTAACTGCTACTTATTTCTACCATCACGTAGTTTGACCGTATGGTTTGTGATGTTGCTACAGACTACATCAATGGCGCTTGTTTCAAACAGGTTCTCTGTAACAGCTTGAAATCCTCAATCTGCCATCTGAGTATCGATTTACGAATTATCTGTTCCTAAGCATCTCTTAGATCACTGATTGTTGTTTATTGCTATTATTATTAAGCATAAGTGCATTTCGTGCGCTTGCGTCGGCTCACGCTGTATTTGTTCTTCTCTTGATCAGTTCTCCCTACTGACTCCTTATTAAAAAAGTCACTTTCTGAATAAATGAGGACCATTACACTATTTCTCTCGTGTGCTTATTGATTTCAAAGTCTAAGCTATTTTTAGACGGGCTTTGATTAAGCATCACTGTTTTCGCCAGACAGATCACTGGTCATGCAATTATTTGAAAATATCCTGACTTGTATGTTGGTGCTGATCTAACTGCAAAAGATCGCGAAGTGATTTACGTCACAGTTAATCATAAAGTCTGTAGAGCTGTACGAGTTCTGTAGTGGAATATTTTAGCATTGCGTTGGTTGATCACATGCGAATTAGGTTTTCGTACAGTATCTCTTTACATAAAATACAATTTCTAAATGGAGAAATGCGACTATTTGTTTTGATTGACATCCATATTTTAAATAATTTTCATCTTTTGGATAATGTATGCAAATTTCTTTTATGATATTGAAGGGCCATAGGTAACTGAATGACGGTTTCTTGATTACTTACTGATGAATTCGCCTCTGGCATTTGCTCATTTTTATTGCCTTCGTAAACAGTGAATTTAATAGGACAACAAGTAAGTTTGCTAGTCCAGACAAATTACTTGTCAACCGATTATAGGCTTTCCAATTGCATCGTCAATAAACGGAACTCGTTATCTCAACACATGTTTGAAACTCATTCTGCCAACTCGCTCAGCAGAAAGTTGGATCAAGTGAGAGGTCAAAACTATTAGGACTGATATACGCCAACCAGTGTAGCTCACCACTTGAGATAATTGCCTTTCAACTATCACCTGTCAGATATCTAGCGATCATAAGTGTGAACGTGCAACATATGCTTTGGACAGAATATAAACCATTTAAAGCCTCTTTGTTAAACACTGCAGTATGATGCACATGATTTAGAATCACTTAGATCAGTGGCCTCATTGCCACTTGATCGATAGAAGACCATCAGGCTAACCGTTAGAAAGTGATTATTAATTCAGGAGAACTATACTTATAGTTAAACCTGAATTTATTGTGCTTACCTACTTGTTACTGCTTTTACTGCTGTCACTCCCGAAGGAGCATAAACCACCGACAAGCATTCTCCAACCAACTTAGTCCCGTGTTTCACTTTCCAGTTCTTCCCAATTGCTATTCATTCTTTTCATGTCTGCTTCTGATTCAGGTTGCAGTGTGTTACTAAGTTTATCTCTTTTCTTTCTGCGAGGACTTGTCCATCGATTCTTTTGAAGGACTTCCTCAATGTTTGCCTCATCCAACTCCAAATGTTTTTCTAATTGATTTTACAGCTGGGACCTCGTCCTCTCCCTCAGTATTATACCTAATCTAGTGGTACTAATTGTGTGTGTAAGTGTGATATGCTTAAACCTGTCAACTATTCAGTGGGTATTGAATGAGTGATCAAAATTGTAAGCCTTACTTCCAAAAATGAGTATTGTTCTTACTGTACTGTTCTTAAAATTTACGAAATAATCTTCTAAAAAATATATTTCGCTTGCATTTTTCCCTGATTTGTATAGATTTACAAAATCTTAAACTCATTGTTATGTAATATTTGAAAGTCATTCATGAATATTGGAAATAATTCCAACTTATTGCTATCAAATTGTGCTTGTGACATTTGTCAATGTTTCACTAGTAAACTACAGAATGATGATCCACATATTCATGTCCAATGTCAATTGAATGATCGAGTTAAACTATGGAATCGATATGAAGGAATTGTGAAATTTATTGGTCCCGTTCATTTTAAACACAATATTAGTATGATTCTTGTTGGCATTGAATTAAATTCACATAGTAAGTACTTTGAAATAAAGTTTTGCACTTGAAAAAAATCTCTTATTAATCAGTTTCTAGAAGTGCATTAAACAATTATAATCTCTACTGTGATCAAATGAAACGTATTCTTGTGCCAAGAACATTTTTCACATTGTTATCTAAAGGAAAACGAGGTAATCCACAAATTACAGGATTCCCAATGAATCCAAATTATCAACTGATACAAAAGAATCGTAAACTTTATCAAACTATGTATGTTACGATTATTATCATTATCATTGTTATTTTACAGTGATCCGATATTGTATCATTTACGATTTCAAAGATAACTTATTCAGAATGATAAAAATTGATAGGAAGAGGTATTCTGTCGTTTATTGTTGACTGACCAATATATTGATCAAGGTAAGAATACAAACGTGTTTGGTATTTTTGTACTTACTAGTGATTAACTTCACGAGAAAATTCTCAGAGTTCTGGCGAGAAGACATCACCGGCGAAGTTCAACCATGTCGGGTTGATAATAATGGGTGGGATTGCTGAAAATCCCTAGATTGATCAGAGGTAGACATAAACATCGTTGGATACCGGCCCAGTGGTCCCAAGGTAAGGCGTCGACGCTTGAGACCCTAGGTATTGGACTTGAACCCTGACGGTAGAGCTGTTGATGAGTGTCATACCAGGATGAAATGGCCATCTAATGTTTTCAGGTTTCTAACGGTGGGCTAACAATGAGTGATTCACGATTTCAGGAATTAATGTGAAATCTAATCTAGGTGAAATCTATGCAGTAAATATTTTGGGAATCTATTTTAAAGCTTACTTGCTTACATACATACTTACGCCTGTTACCCTAAATGAAGTAAAGGACACAGACCAGCTTTCTCCAACTTAGTCTGTACTGAGCCTCCTTCTCCGGTTCCGTCCAATTTCTGTTCATTCTTCTCCTGTCTGTTTCAGTTTCCCGGCGTAATGTGTTCCTTGGCCTCCCTCTTTTCTGTTGGCCTTGAATATCTAGCATCTATCCATTCATTCATTTTACTTTACTAATTAATCGCTTAAATTATTCAATAATTGTATCGACCATAATTTTGTATTTGTAACAATTAGATAACAGTATCGTTTATTGTTAATTTGTTTGTGTGTGTGGACGCTTTATCGTTTATCACGTCGGGCTCACCATCTTGACGGCTCACTACTGGACTTCACTGTTCCAGGCAAAGGCTTGTCTCGTGACGCGGTTGAGTTCTTCCCGCAATGTGTTTCCTATCCATCTCTAACGCTTCTTCCTGATTTATTCATCGACTGCAATCTGGTTTGTTCTGTGCTACAGTAGGTTATTGCCGATTGTGTCTAGCAAACGGATCAGAAGTATTTTGAGTAGACAGCTGTTAATAAACACTTTTATCTTCTGGATGATGGCTTGTGTAGTTTTCCAAGTTTCCACTCCATACAGTCGAACTGTCTTGACATTTGTATTAAAAATTGTGACTTTGGTGTTGATTGATAGTTGTTTTGAGTTGCTGATGTTCTTCAGTTGTAGAAATGCTTTGCTTACTTTACCGATCTGCTCCTTCACATCTGCATGAGAGCCACCTTTCTCGCCAACCATGCTGCCCTGATATCTACACGTTTTTGCATCCTCCTAGGCATTTCCATTTGGCGTGATTTTGTTTGCTCATGTTGTGTTGTGTCATAGGATCTTATTATTACCTTTGTGTATGTTAAGACCTCCTGCCGCTGAGGCTGCTGCTACACTGGTCGTCTTCTCTTTCATCTGTTGTTGTGATGGAAGAGCTAGATCATACTGTTCAGAAATCCATGAAGTCATTGACAAGTGAACTGAGCCATGTCGGTAGTTTTCGACTACCTGGTCAGGGTCCGCGAGATGATAATAATCGGTGGTTAGATACCCTGAATGGCATGGCTGAAAACCGTTCGCAGTGGCGCAGGTGCATTTATTCTTTGTGTCCTCTCAAATTCTAATCTTCTGGAATCGTCAACACCTCTACCTTTGTCTTTCTAACCTTTTCTCACTGAATCATGTTTCTTGAGTATCTTCTGATCCTAACCTCTCAGATTACTTCTAATACCTTTACTACCTCTTCTACTATTGGATTTGAATCGACAATTATACCTCTGTGCTGATGTGGTATGGCAACATGAACTGATGTACTTACGTACGAAGTTCTACATTGCATCTGACTGACTGACTGATCGTCCAGCTGCATGATGACAACTCACTGTATACCGTACTTCTGTACAGTTCTTGACGTCTTCATAATTCAGTCGATGAAAACGCCCTAATTAAATATACTTGCTTTTTCCTTTATAAAAAGTATCTTCACCTCTTTTTGACATTTCAACTAATATTGTATGATTTTTTTTTCTAATGTAGATTGAGAAACTAATGCAGCAATTCAAATTTCACCCATTCAATATTCAATAGTTCAATAGTATTTGTACTAATATTATCAATCGTGTAGTATTGTTAGATATTATTTTTCTAAAAACCTTGAAATATTTTAACGAACATTCTAGATAAAATATATAGCATGTTAGAAAAGTCATAATTTTTAATAATCTTCTTCATCTAATCAATGAAGTCACATTTGTAAATTTAATAAACTGTGTTTTACTTTCTTTACAAATTAAAACAATTCAATTAACTCAAAACACCGTGTGTTTTAAATTTTACTGATGACTATGTAAATGTGTAGCTTAATTGTTAATGAATAGTAGACAAGGTAATGACTGATTACTTTGAGACTGTTTGTTTGATGGAGGTGAAAATTAGTTTGAATATTTTTCTTTAAGTTGGAAAACGCTTGCATTGCTGGCCATTTACAATACAGATAGATAACTACAAAATTGTAGTAGTCGACAAGTGTTAGCTTCATTTCACTGTCACTATCACAGTTGATTGATTGTAAGAGTTTATTTTTGTGTGAATCGTTGATTTCTGAACAAAATGATCTCAAAATTCTTACAAATATCATATGTTGAATGTTGCAGTGTACACTGATTAGTTAGTAGTTATATGAATTATAAATTATTGAAGTGAATACTGAATTGTGGCTGATGTAGAAAACCATCGTTTGAATTGGCGGCAAGTAGGGTGATCAACGTGTCGGACTATTTTATTGCCTATTCTAAAATAAATTATCGCAGACTTATTCTGTAAGAAACTCATCGTACGTAATGCGACAATATTTCTAAATATGATGAAAACATGTCATCTTGTCAAAGTTAAGATAACTTCAGAAGATGGTGAGTTTTCTTTTTTGTGAAATCAAGCGAAGACGTCTATAAATCAGACGACCAATCAGCTATAACTTGTGGCTTCCATACAGGATTGGATTCTTCTTGACTATACTCTAAATAAATTGCAAATGTCTCAATATGTTGTCTTCGGTTAAGTGATTCACTTATTTGGTTAAAGATTTTAAAGCATCTATATTGATTGGTTAGAAAAACGCAGATACAGTGTGAATTGTCAATCGGTGTACATTTGAAAACATACAACATACAGTGTAGATATATATTCGTTGGATTATAGTCTACATTACTTTTGATGTTGGCTAAGATTATTGAAAGATGATGTGTATTATCAGTAAATAGATCCACTTGTTAGAATATTTGTTTTCGTGTATAATTTATCTTTCAAGATTCAAGTTTTGATGAGTTGATCTACATGTGGAATTAAGGGTTCTGCTGAAAAAGAATTTCAAATGACTATTGTACAAGTGTCATTTGTTATATAGAAGTCTTTCGAAATGTCCACTTTGGATTTTCATACGTTTAAAACAAACACAGTGATGATGATGTTGATGATGAGATCAACACACGATTGACGTATTTGATTGATTCATACAACTTAACATTTCGAAATTAGATCTGATAGATATATACAACATCTGTCAAATCTTATTTGAAAAATCAATATCAAGACCATGGAACATGATACTTCTGTTTACACATAGTTTAGGCATAATTAACAAGTATCTTAATGCGCATATTATCAGTCAGTTCATGGTTCAGACGTTATTTGTCTACTGCTTCACAATAAAATCTGTTGTTCTGATATATTTGGCAATCATTGTTGTTGAATTGTTTTTAAATGAGTTCGCTATTGAACTTGCTATTTCAGTTATTCTGTATATATTGTTGTAGTAAACCAGTTAGTTGAATAAATCAAGATTTCAAGCGAAAATGATACAAACATTTTAAGTATATTTAATTTAAATGTTAGAATGAACTTATGGAAATGAAATTTTATTTTATTATTTTTAAGCAAATATTAATAACAATAATAATTGAGATTGAACACATTGAATTTGACGACTTTACAAAATATTCTATCTATTTTTGAGATACATTGGAATTTAAATCAATGCCAAGAAATTGTAAATCAAACAAAAACTTGGAATATTAAAAACAGACTACTAAATAATAATATAAGTAGGTAGTTCATTTAGAATAAAGTAAAGAAACAATATTATCTGATTATGTCAATCAAGGTTGTTGAATTAATAAATGTCCGAAAAATTTTCTTAGAATTCTTTGGTATGAATTAGTCTGATCTGTAATAAATTCAAGAATAAATAATATGAAAGCAGAAGATGTAATTCATAGTGCATACTGGGAAAAACAAATAAAAATCATTCATGAATTGAATTCTAAAGTTTATGTCATGAACAACTTAACAGTTATTAGTAAACTGAATTGAACACGTGAATCATTGATTTCTGGTCATTCTTCTATGATGCAACTGTTGGCGTTGATATGTGTTTTATGCGAGGTAATCGATTGCATGAGCTATCATTTTGACTAGTTGATGAAAACTATGCACCGAGTGTAGAGTTTTATTAGGCAAACATATTTATCAACTAGTTAGTGTATCGGTTTGGATAGTTTGTGGTATAAATTCATTGAGTTCGCATTTTGTTAACACAGTATGAGAAGCATGTTATTAGCTAACTCGTGACGATGCATAGGAAACGGTGCGAACGTGCACTTAGGGAATTTACGTGAATGGTTGAATAATTTAGTGGGCAGGTATGAAAGTCAATAGGATTGTCAGTGAATACAGGAGACATAGAAATTAGAATGTGGGTAAGTGTGTGTGTCTGTATGTGAGTGTAGTGAAGGAATTAATGTGAAAATTGTTGAGACTTACTTTGACCTGTTGGTTTTACATTTTCGTTTGAGAATTCTCCGAATATAGTGGTTGGTACCAGTTTACTTGTTGACTGCTGCGATGTAGTGGTGTCTGTCATAGTTTCTACTGTAGCAGGAGGGAGAAATAAATTTAGAGGAAATTCAAAATTTGCATATGTCACGTACTCTTTTGACTCTTTATTGGATTCATTATAGCATGAATAACCGAACACAATATATTCATGAACACAGTGTTATTTGTTATGTGGTGGATTTTGGATACTTTATTGCTATACGCTTTATCACACCCTTACTAATACTGAAAGCCACCGAGAATCGGATGCTCACAGTCAGATGAATGTCGGTGAGAACTATCCACTGTTCACTGACTGCCGAGTTCATTCTTGTTCACATCTCAATGTGAGTCGGTTGAGTGTGGTGGATGTTAACACCGAAGTTGAATGGTATGAACTTTGTAGTTCAGAATACATAAACACATGAGATGTCTAATTAATCATTCCCTTTGTAACTGTTTCACAGTACGATTGAATATGTATGTTCTGCGAATCTATTGTTCTTGTGATTGAAATCGTGAATATTTTGTAGAATACTCTTATGGCTCATATCTTATATCGATCGATCTGTCATGTAGTGGAATGTGCTGGTTCTTGTTTGGTTGTTGTTGTTGATGATGTCCAATGAGCATGATGTGAAGTGAGCATTCACAAAACTTAAAGTACATCAATGATCCTAGTCAGTGGTAATGACTGTAACTGTAATGTTTGCAACAATTGTCTTCAGAAAGAATGCAGTCATTTGAAGATATCGAGATATATGAACGTGACAATGGATTTTGATTGCACTCATGAGACATAAAGATGTTGATAGAAGTGAACAGAATTGTCGGTTGAGTAAGAGGGCCACATGTTTATCGTTTGCCAACTATTTTTCGTATTTAAGCTCTATTTGTAGCTCTTGGTATAATTGATATCAATCTATTTTACTTCAATGCATTGTTATTTAAATTTGTTTGTTCAAAAAAAACTTTATCAAAAACATATTGTGACTACTTACATTCTTCTTTTGAATGCCATGATGTCATAGGATCATGATAATTCCTTGATGTTGTTGTTCTTAAAAGTTCTCCTTTTATTTCTTGTTTTTCTATCAAAGTATCAATGGTTACTAAAACAAAGAGTAATGATTATTCTCATATGAGCATGAATTTCATGATGTTTTATTGTCTTATCTAACAAGATTTTAGTATTTATTACAATCAGCATATATATACAATCAGCATCTTCGACAACTAAGGTGGATCCGACGCAGATGTGAGGGCGCGGATTGGCAAAGCAAGGGCTGCACTTCTACAATTGAAAAATATCTGGAACTCTAAACAACTTTCACCCTAAACCAAAATCAGGGTTTTTAATACAAATGTCAAGACAGTTCTACTGTATAGAGCGGAAACTTGGAGAACTACCAAAGCCATCATCCATAAGATACAAGTGTTTATTAACAGTTATCTACACAAAATACTTCAGATTCGTCGGCCGGACACGATCAGCAACAACGTACTGTGGGAGAGAACAAACCAGATTCCAGTGGATGAGGAAATCAGGAAGAAGCGGTTGAAGTGCATAGGACACATATTGCGAAATGTACCTAACTGCGTCACAAGACAAGCCCTCCTGTGGAACCCTCAAGGCAAAAGGAAAAGTGGAAGGCCATATGAACAACAACAGAAATAGAGAAAAATATGAGAGGAATGAACAAAAATTGGACAGAACTAGAAAGGGAAGCCCAGGACAGAGTTGGTCGGAGAATGCTGCTGGTGGGCGGCCTTTGCTCCATTGGGCTGTGTAACAAGCGTAACTAAGTGAGTAAGTAAGTACAATCAGTATTTATATAACATTCACTTATTATAGATACATAGATCATGATGAAGGTCATACAATATAAAATTCCTAATATTGAGAAAGTTAATTTATCCATGTACATTTAGATTAGTACAATTAAAACAACAATTATGTCTGTTTGCTCATGACAGATTATTCATAATAGCTAGGTAGGTAGTGTGGAATATATGATTCCTGATAAGAGTATTAGTATTATTAACGTTATTCATTCATGTTTCAATGTAACTCTGTTTGAATTTTTTTGTTCCAGTTGTGTTTTAAACTTCCTTGCCAATTTATTTATTTTATCAAGTTGGCAAATTCAAAACATCATATTCACTAACAACATCTCAAATGAAACATATCTGTTCAGTACTTACTTACCTTGTGTTGTCATTTGAATAATTTTCAAAAATGACAATTTGTTATTATGACGGTAACTAACTTTCAATTTGTTGAATATGGAGTTCATATTTAATTGGCGTTCATCAGGATACACAAATCGTAATAATAACTTTGCTTTTACACCAATAATGATAACACTATCATATTCATTATGAATATTTATTTTCGAGAATTGTACATGTTTACATCTTCCACCATCTGAACCAGGAGTTGTTACATTTCTGACCAATTGAATGATCTAAATAAACAACAATGATATATATATTTCAGAAAAATTAAAAATTCGTTTATCTGAACTGGAGTTTTAAATTTCCACTGAATATATATTTCTCTTTAGGGAAATAATCATGAAATTAATAGGATTCTAATTATTCACTTCAGTTCTACACTTCAATCACAAGAGTTGATTTAGACAACATTATTGGTTGTCCTGTTAAGTGATACACCAAGTCTTTAATGCAATCATTTAATTGTACATGGATTATTAAATGAAAACTGAATTCATCAGAATAATAGTGTGTACGAATTTGTTCGGTCAGTTTAATAGGTGGTAAAGACAACCGGAAATACCTCGACAAGTTGTTTCAATCAATTTGTAATTTGAACATGAGAGTAGTATACACAGGTAATTCATGTGTTTTCCTAGTGAACTTATCAATAGATCATTAATTTACCAATCAGATCTATTCTGCAACTATGTGCAATGTGTGATCGATAAACGAACTCATCAATGATGAATGGTACTAAACGCCCATCACCACCATGACTTTCTTTGACCTTGTAAGAAGATTGGATGTTTACTATCCAATCAGAATCTTTTATGTATGTTGGTGGTGTTCCAAATCACCCGATATTTTTCTACCTAAGATCAGATCATTTTTCAAAAAAAAATAGGAAGATAATGAGTTTTGATGAGTCATATTGTCAATCTTCTAGTTATACTGTACAGTGTGTTTTTCAAATCGCCTTTTTTCCCTCTCTTACGTAGTATGTTCCACGGCCTACAAATTAACTTCAAATTGCATCTTTATATAAGTAAGTCCTACAATGTTTATTCTTAGCATAAATATTAAACATTATTTGTCAAATGATAAAACGGAACATACCAGATTACAAAAGGGATAAAATAACTCTTGGTAGGGAGTTGAAGATGAATCTTGATAAAGTGGATTCCATGTGATCATCTGTCCAGAAGTACGATTTTGCAAAACAGCATCATAGATTAAAATATCCACTACTGAAAATGGCAAAATGCAAAAATCAATTGAACATTATTTCGGATTTATTCTAATATTGATATAAATCGAGATGAAAAACTGTTATGACCGATAACATTTTCCAGGTAATCGTTTCACAATGTTTTCTTCAAATTATCTACTGCATTGTAGTGATATATGGTTAAACTAAGCATTTCAGCATTCGGTTGCTTAAGATATCAACCCATGAATCTTATCTCAATACTTTTGTTTCTCATCTGAACGTTTGATGTTACACACAATAGTTGATCTATCTATCCACAATCGTTCAATCTGACCTTAATATCAATACTGCGTGAATAACTTAGCATGATAATGGTTGCACTTTTATTGTTTTCCAAGTTTATTTTACACCATGTTAGGTGTGACATTCAAACAATTTATATTGATATCATCATGGGAGATCGTATTTATAGAAGTGAATGCGATGATAGTGTTCATGTTAGTCTTACGGAATGAAAATCTTTTCATTTCAAACACGAAAATGGGATTGGATAATGTCACTACTAAAATGTAATCATTGAAGTAGTGAAACAACTTACTAGTTATTCGACGTTCAATAAATCCATCTGATGATTCATTTAAATAAGACTTATAACTAGATGGAAATTTGTTTGAGAGCACTTGAACAACATATGCAACAGCTAAAATAGTGATCACAGTGAGTATTTTCATTTCTGTAAAATGAATACAATTAACAATATAATACAATAAGGATGGTGAGAAATAAATCAATGGAATTCAGTGTATCTCATGAGACAGCTTATGAGATAGACAGATATGTAACATCGAATATATCTGTCCATTCCACCCAATCACTACCTAAAAAATTCCAGTGATAAACGAATATCTTTTAGTGATGAATGAATTCACTTAGTTGCAGGATACTATAATACTACAATAACTCCGCCTGTAGAACACTTTGGGGCTACTGCCGGTCTTATGCCTGGACAAAGAGGGAGGGTTGGGCATGAGGTTGACGACTTTATCCCACCAAAAAACTAACTCGCTAAAAAATCACTAACCACGGCAAATAATTTTAAACCATTTTAACTCTGCCATGAAAGTTGCAAACAACGACAGGTCAAAAGGCAACAGCAACCAATCAAGATCGAGGTTAGCAGAACATGCTGCAGGTCAAACGTGGAGAAATTCGAATGCTTCACTTCTATCTGAAGTTTGTGCTGATGATGTTGTTCAGAAGAACAATGAAAGCTCCACAACCAAAACAACCAGTTCAGAGAACGAAACACCACCACAAGTTGGCATAGTAATTATGACGTCTCATAATGAAAGTGGAGTCCCCTGGGAAGTCATGAGGTTGATGCCATTCTGACAACCAGATCAACCATTCTCCAATGTACATGGAACGTTAGAACATTATGGGAGGATGGAAGACTATTTCAATTTGCTCCAGAAACGAAAAGATACAACTTGGAGGTGCTTAGAATCAGTGGAACGCATTGGACTCAGGTAGGAACACTGAGACTAGATTCAGGGGAAGTACTGTTTTACTCCGGTCATGAAGAGAAAAATACTTCACATACACAAGGAAACGCACTGATGCTGTCCAGAGAAGCATAAAAAGCACTTATAGGATGGGAACTGCATGAACCCAGGATCATCAATGCATCCTTCATACAATGATAGAATACATTACAATGAACCTCATCCAATGCGATGCACCTACAAATGATATAACGTCAAATCATTACTTGCCGAAACGAAACTGAACATGTCAAGACAGTTCTACTGTATTGAGCGGCAAATTGGAGAACTACGAAGCTATCATGCACAAGATACACGTATGCAATAACGGTTGTTTGTGCAAAATACTTCGAATTCGTTGACCAGACACCATCAGAATCAATCTACTCTGAGAGAACAAACTAGATTTCACCGCAGGAGGAAATCAGGAAGAAGCGGTGGAAATGGATAGGACACACACTGAGGAAAGCACCTAACTGCCTCATAAGACAAGCCCTCAACTATGACCCTCAATTTAAGTTGAAAAGTGGAAGATCAAACAACACAGTACGCCGAGAATTGGAGGAAGATTCGAGCCAAACGAACAAAAGTCGTACAGAACTGGAAAGGCAAACCCTCGACAGTGTAGGTTTGAGACAGAAGGTCAGCGGGCTGTGCTTTATCGGGGATAACAGGCTTAAGTAAGTAAGTATATTACTACAATTTTACAAACTGCGCTAAATCGACCATGAAGTTTAAATGTGAGTCAGACATGTCCTGAAATATTTACGAGTCGATTGTGATGCATCAATAATGTTCATTGAAGAATCAAAGTGAAAATTGTTGAATAGTTTTTCGTTAAATGAAATGATTTGAAGTTGACGTGGATTTTAACTAATTGGTAATTTATAAATTCCAAAAATAATTTGTATACATTGAGGTGGATGTAGGAAGTGTGTACTTTGTTGAAACGGATCAACGAAACATTAATCATATCACATTTGTTATCCTTCATGTATCATATCAAGATCCAGGATAAATCAATCTGTTCTGTTTGATCTGATCAGAGTGAAATACAACAAAGAACAACAGCGCTGTCTTCTGCTTCTCTTAACTCAATTAATCACTGTAAGGCATAGTTAATAACTGCACTCAGATGTCAATTTAATGAGACTATTGTATCATGGAATAAAATACATATCTTGGGTTAACAAAATATTTAAGCACTGACAATTATGCAAAGGAAATACTACTCAAACTTACTTGAACCCCTTGAATGCAAAAATATCTACAGACGGATATTGACTGTACACAATAACTTGTCGTTTCTAATCAAATTATTCTGCTTTCTTGAAAATATCACAAATGTTTATATTATTTATAAATGTATACATATATATATTTATATATGCATTTCTGCCCTGATATTTATCAACAAACAACCTGTATGCGTAGGTTGAATAGATTTATGTTTTGTACTACACATTCATATTTGAATAAAAGGATTCTTTTGTAGAAACCAATATCCCGATTTTTATAAAAAGACTATAAACGAGTGATATGATTGAATCATTCTCTTTCAATCTTTCTTACTCTTTCTTACTATTCATTTTGTATGTATTGTTGTCAGAATAGTTTATGAATTTTATGTAATTATCAAATGTTTAGCTTAATGATAGACTGTCTGATAATCTTTGTCTGGGTGACTGATCACAGAATAGAATGGTCGAGTTTTCTATTCAAACATTGACAATACTAAATGTTATTATATTTCTGTTGATATTGATCAAGTATACATGTCATTATTGTTGCTATGTTTTGTTGTGTTATGTTGTGTTTTTTTTACTCTGATCTGATGACAATTTCGTTTAGTATCATTTGAATACTTGTCATTTTGGTGGGTATGCCTATAAGAGAATGCTGGTTATGTAGTTATACACAAACAGTAAGATGACTTGTGAACTTAAAATATTTCTAATCATTATGTGACTAGGTATTTGATATAAATAAATAACTTTCATTATCGAAATAATGATGCTATGTTTTGACATGGATTCGAAGTAAAGCTACACAGTTTGTTTTATTTACATATAACGAATCTGTTGTTTCGGTGGCGTGAGCAGTTTAATTCATGGCTGATGAAATATTTTTATCTTATTTCATTGATAACAAGCTGAATTGAGATCTCAACCAGATGAATGTAGGATTAATCTAGGAAGATTTGATCATGATACATTCTATGTAAATTCATTTCAGTTGATTTGTATGTTTTAAGAAATCCAAAGACAAATATGCCTAACGGTACTTTCATCCAGTTGGCGAGTAATTGTTACTAACATTTGCTGACAACAAGTATGAATTTCGAACGCAAGTGAAATGCTTTTCAACTACTGAGTGTCACTTGTTTGCTCTGATAATCAATATATTACATTTCATGTATGACAATGATTGCCCCTTATAATCGATTTGAATGTCGGGGGGCCAAATAATATCCTGTGGAGATATCTGTATAGGTTGTCATACCTGCAAATAAATTTGAGGCTGTTCAGATGTAGTTTGAAAAGGCCTTTTGATTAACCAATATTGGCCGAGTCATTCATGTAGCAATAACTTATATGTGACATTGACTTTTGTCGTCTTCTGATTTGAAGGAGCAGTTATGGCTCTACATTGTTTACCGTCTCCTATTTGCTTCAATGTTAGACTGTTAAATATTTTAATGCCTCATTCATTTTTCTGTGTATATATGAACATTTTGATCCTATTCATTCTTTTTCCAACCGATCATTCGCTTGTTTGCCCATTGCAACTACATATGATTTTTGCTTTGTGTGTATTTTGTTTTGTAAGCCTGCTGGAAAATAGAAGTGGGAGTTGTTTTGCAACAATTGGTTAGCAGCATGTGGGAACCATTTTCACTTTTTCAAAGAGATTAACTAGAACTACATCGAGGTATAGCACTTTCGCGACAGAACGGTTGGCGATCTTCTCGACAACAAAACATATCCGACATACCATTTTCAAAATGTTTACAGAATATTAAGGTCTTAGAGATGCTTCTCTCAACATTTGTGGTTTTCTGAGCAATTAATTTTGAATAATTATCTTCTTATCGTTCACAGCACTTTTGGTTTTTATATTCAATAGACAGATACACTGAATGTCTCTGGATGCTGGTCAATCACTGTCAGTTTTAAAGAACTGAAACATTATGTAGCATTGTGAGTTTACTGACCCGTATCTTACAATTTACAACATTGGTTAGCTTAATATCAGTATGATATGCTACGTGGATATTTAGTCGAATAAACAACGCCAAAGCTGTCTGGTTTCTTTGTAACGTGGAGCTAATAGAGAAAGTGTACTCCCATGAGATGTACAAAAAACGGAAGAAAGCTTAGAAATACAATATAAAGAAAGGTATTGAATCTAACTAGAATTCATGGTGGTAGAGAAATAACCCCTACCTACCCATGTTTGTGGGGCAGGACAATTTTTGTTTTGCCTACCGCTCCTTAGTATATAGTAGAATGTAACTAATCATTGATACTGATGTTGCTTTTCCTCGTTAAGTACGTCTACAACTCATGTTTGTAACTTGCACTGGTTTCATCTCCCACTAAGAAATCCTAATACGGGGAAAAAGATGTTAGCAATGACTTTTTAAGCTACGGCGTTAAAAAACAATAAGCTAAATAACACATGAGCATGAGATCACTACGTCTTCATTACTATATTCTGTAAACCAACATTATATTTGACACTTTAGTTCTTTTGAATTTCCTCTGTTCATAAGATTACTTGACCATTCCTTAACTTACTAGTAACTCGTCTCCATTAACCTGCATCAGTACTGGTGTGCAGTTATTGTTTTGATGCAGATAAGGAAAAGTCTTAGTAAACGTACCTTCGTGGTATCCAAAACAGCATGTGCATAGTTATGACTCAGGTTAAAACAAGGAAATATTTTGTTCTACTCCTTGCTCCTTTCTCTTTTCCTTTCCTTTTTCAGCGGCTCATTATACTCCTTCAATATTATACTGAAATAGAGCCAAAGACTTGGTGACTTTACACAGCAGTTTGTTAGACTATTATCTGGCGAATCTCAACAGCAAGGTCACTGCGCGTTTATTCCATCACTTCTTGTCATATGCAGACCTGCATTTACTTTACCTCAGTTCTCAACCATCAGCGGTTTCTCGCAACGC